TGTTCAACATGACATGCTTTGAAAATAAAGTTGTGATTTTGTTACAGGTTGAGATATCGAGCATATTTGGGCTCAGGAATCCCAATGATTATAGATAATTTTGTGGTTGTCAGCCCAACGTGGACATTATGTCTTGATGTTTGGTATTGCTAAACTTGGTTGCCCTAAGCAAATTCCTTCTCTTCTCTCTCATCTCTAAACGCTCCCTTCCTTCACCTCCCTGCTATCACAGAAACCCTGCTCTGCAGGAGGCCACTGTTCGCTGCAGGTCTCCCTAGTGTGGCTGGTCAAAGGCCTTCTGCCGCCCCTGGGCCTGGAGGAGGATGGGTGGGGGGTTAGGGGTTGCAGGGAGTGGATGTTTTCTCCTTTTGGCCACTTCCAGACCACTTCTCCCCTCCTCTGTTCTCCACCTCCCATGTTTAGTCTTAGGTCATCAGACAATACCTTATTCTACATCTCTTATAATGCAGTCATTATGGGCCCCTGGGTTCTTCCCCCTCATATGTTGAAGATTTTTATCTGAGGGCTCACTGCCATTCTCTGAAGCAACTCCTTATTTCAACATGCAAGTGGATGGTCTTCCCAATAGACAGGTCTCATGGTTCCTTGACCCGTCCTCCAAAATTCATGCCCTTTCCCTTAACAGCTGCTCAGCTCCCATGGACCTGCTCCAGACTTTGTCACACCACATCCTAGCCATAATCTCAGTCTCACTCTATGTCTCCAATCTTTGCAGGTAACTCCTTCTCATAGTCCTTTTGACCCCACGTCATTTCTCAATATTCCCTTTACCTGGCTTGAATGCCATGACCAGTCATTGTAATTACTCCCTTGCATAACTCTCAGCTCCCAACCTAAACCCACTCAGCATACCATAGCTGCAGAAAAACATTCCAGCATGCCAACTGGGATTACAATGCATGACCTCAACCCTCCGTGGGCCTTTTCTTCTGTCAACTACACATTTCCCTGGAACATTCACCCTCTCTAGATAACTCTTCTGGATAACATGTGCACTCTTCTAGATAACTTGTTTACATACCTTCTCTTATTTCTTCTAACCTATACCTTTATCATCCTCATTCTTTTGGTTTTCTTAAAAATCAGAAGCAATCCAAATAGAATGTCCCTTGCTTTCACCACCATGGCCCCATTCCATCCACATCTGGGCCAAATACTGAGCCTTTCCTCCCATTCCTGTGCATGGACTGTCCACATTCCCAGATAAGGGAGGTCATTTTGCTGTGCCCCAGATCAATTACCAATAGTTAGAAAGAAACACTAGACCCAAAATGGAGTCACTTTTGCTAAGCTCCCCCAAAGTTTTAGCCTCTCCCAGAAGTGGAATTTTAAACCAATCAGTCTAGAATTTCCTGCTCAATACTAGTGAAGTAATCTTCCTTATAAACCCCCTTGCTTCCCCTACGGAAAGATGGCATTGCCTGAATAATCCACTCTTTTCACTGTCTTGTCTCACCATCTTTCTGCCTATAAAAACCTTCCATTTTGTACAACCCCTCAACCCTCAGAGGTCCCTTATACTTGCTGAGTGAGATGCTGCTGATTCATGAATTGCTTGACAAAGTTAATTAGATCTTAAAATTTACTTGCTTGAATTTTGTTCTTTAACACAATCAGTTAATACAATTATCAATCAACTAGAGGCCCGATGCATGAAATTCGTGCAAGAGTAGGCCTTTCTTTCCCCAGCTGCTGGTACCTGCTTCCCTCTGGCACCTGGGACCCAGGCTTCCCTCGCAGCCCCGGCTTCATCCGGAAGGTCGTCCAGTCTAATTAGCATATTATGCTTTTATTATTACAGATGAATTATTTTTCATCAATACACAATGTGTTCTTTGTCTAACAAAAAAAAAACAAACAAGCCCTGACTGGGTAGCTCAGTTGGTTAGAGTATTATCCTGACACACCGAAGTGTGGGTTTGATCCCCGGTCAGGGCACATACAAGAATCAATCAATGAACGGATAAATAAGTGGGACAACAAATGGATGTTTCTTGTTCTCTCTCAAATCAATAAATAACATTAAACAAACAAATTTCTCTCACATGTTCTCTAGCTACTGCCCCAATCTTTCTGCTCTCTTTCACAGCAAACAACCCAACACTCCTCCAACTTCACTTTCTATTCCTTAATGGACCCATTCAAACCGGGTCTCACCCTTGCCAGGCCATGGAATCTGTTCTTGTCAAGGTCATGACTTCCATATACAGGTTAGTTCTCTCACCTCATCTTTCTTGACCTACCAGTAGCTTCGACACAGTGGTCTCCTAATTGACTTCCCTATTTGTACCCATGTTCTCTTTTAATCTGTTCTCAACACAAAGTGGTATCACTTAAGGGGGTAATGCTAGACAGGATGAATAGCTGCTAGGGAAGGAGGTGGGAGGGGGCTAAAGGGGGGAGTTTATCTCACTCACTGAAGAAGGAAGTCATTAGTCTTGGGACTTGCCAAGATAAAATAGCCAGACCTCATAAATTCTGAGGAAAGCAGCAACAATGTAAAAGGGGAACCTTGAAGCCTATAAGGGGGAAAAAAGTATAAAACTTTTGCTTTCCCACCAGGTGGAACACTCAGATTAGCAGAGTTGCCCTCTTGTGCTTTATGCCAAGTGTATTCTTAATAAATCTGCTTGCTTTGTCTCCCTAATAAATTCTCTTGCTTTGCTTCAACACTGTTGTCTGTCACTTGTCTGAATTCTTTCTCATAAGACGGTAAAAGCCAAGAAGGGGAGAGCCCCTTCTGACTTGGGCAGTTCTCTGGTAACAAACCCATCAGTTCTACTTTTATTTTTCTCTTAGAGGTGCCCTCTCAAAGGTCTCCATCCAAACAAGTTGTGTCTCATGGAGTAGCTCTAGAGCTTCCCCTGCACTTCCCTTTGCCACCATCGGAGACTTTCCTCGCCCTCTCTCCTAGGTTGGATTCCATGTGGCCGGGATCCCAGGTTTCCCTCTGTCCTGATTGAATCCCTTGTTTTGGTAGAAAACTTCCTCCAGTAGCTTCTTGTGGAAGAGGGTGCATTAAAGGTAAGTTTTCTGATAATTTGCATGTTTGAAAAGACCTTTATTCTACTCTCAAACTCTACTGAGAGTTAAGCTGGATTTAGAATTCCAGGTGTAAAAATAATTTGCCCTTGATATTTTGAAGGCATTGTTTTGTTGACTTCTAGTTTGCAATGTGGTTTATGTAGACATCCCATTTGTTCTGATCACTTGTTCTATGTGTATAACTGTGTCTCCCGCCTCCACAAGGCTTTTAGGATTGTTTCTTTATCCCTCATATTCTGAAATTGTATAATAATATGCCTTGTAAACTCATTTCTTTCAGTTTGGGCAAACGTTCTTTTATTATTAATTCAATAATTTTCCCCCTTTGAGTTATTCTCATTTCTCTTTCTGAGGCTTCTATTACTGTACTGTTGGGGAGCCTGGATTTATCTCCTAATATTCCTATCATTTTTTTTCCTTTTGTTTTTTGTTTTATTTTATGAGAAGTCTTAAAAATTATCTTCTAACCTTTCTTTTGAAATAGTTTCTATTCTACTTATTATACTTTTAGTTTCCAAAGCCCTTTCTTTTTCTGATTGCTTCTTAGAAAAAAATATTTTTAATAACACCTTATTCTAGACCAGTGATGGCGAACCTATGACACGCGTGTCAGAGGTAACACGTGAACTCATTTTTTTGGTTGATTTTCCTTTGTTAAGTGGCATTTAAATATATAAAATAAATATCAAAAATATAGATCTTTGTTTTACTATGGTTGCAAATATCAAAAAATTTCTATATGTGACATGGCACCAGAGTTAAGTTAGAGTTTTTCAAAATGCTGACATGCTGAGCTCAAAAGGTTCGCCATCACTGTTCTAGGGTATGTGTCCACTAGTTTTTCTTCTTTTTCAGAGGGTACTAGTGAGTTTCTTAGAAATTTTATTCTGTTGTCTATCTACATTGTCTCTTTCTCTTCTAAGATTTCTTTTTTCCTTTTTGTTTGGACTGTGTATCTTATGTTGGAGTCTTTCCTAAAATATCTGCTGACCCTTGGCTGTCTGTATTTAAGAGTGAGTATTGAAAATCTGATTTTGGTGGGAAGGGTGAATTCTAATGACTGGTGAGTGTTACTGGAGGATTAAGAAGCTGGGGTGAGCAGACTTCTAGTGGACTTGCCTAATGTGAGCACTCAGAGGATCCACCACTTTCTAGCTTTAGAAGGAGCAAATCAACCAGGTCATACAGCTTTCTGGGAAATGCGTGGGCAAAAAGGCTGGGAGGCCTTGCAGACTGTTTTGTAGTATGAATGAAAAAAAGGGGTCAGGGGTTCTATGTAGAGTAACCTCACAGGGTGATCTGATCATAAATTCCCAACTGGGCAGGTTGTGGTGAGGAGTTATGCCCCAAGACTATAACTTTTAAGTAAAAGGTTTATCCTTGTCTTAAGCTAGCTCTGTCTGTTGTTTTCGTGTAACCTCTAAGCACAAACCCGATGGATTCACAGCCAGGCTCTGCCACTTACTAGTTTTGTGGCCTTGGCTAAAAATTGCTTAATCTTTCTGCGTCTCGGTTTTCCCACCTATAAAGTAGGAATTAGGATAGTGCCCAGGTGATACGGCTGTTGCACCAGACTATGCGAGTGTCTCAGGGCTTCCTTCCCCAATTAGCAAATAATGCAGGTTTCCAAAAACACTCTCCCTTCCCTCCTCAGGGATGACTGAAGAGGCAGTCTCTATGGGCATAGTCTAGAGCAAGGGTGGGCAAACTTTTTGACTCGAGGGCCACAATGGGTTCTTAAACTGGACCGGAGGGCCGGAACAAAAGCATGGATGGAGTGTTTGTGTGAACTAATACATGTTAACACTGCTGCTGGTGAAGGAGCGGAGGGGAGAGCAAGAGAACCCTTTGCTCTTTCAGCTCCGCGGGCCGGATAGAACAGCCGAAACGGCCCACGGGCCATAGTTTGCCCACGGCTGATCTAGGTTGACACATCTAGGAAAAAAACAAAAGAGCACAATATCTTGTTAAATTTTATAATCCAGTCCCCACTTTGCTTCTTCCACCGCCATGTAATTTTCCCTAAATTTCCTCCTTAATTTCAACTGCATTAAAGAAGCTGCAAAATGTATTCGCGGGAGCATTTGAGATCTTGCTGGCTGGCATATGTCATCAGTTTGGCTCAAATAAACTCATAAAAATTCTCTACAGGTTTGAGTATTTCTCACATTGACCAGTAGGTTTCTCCCATTTGTATTCTATTTTCAGTCCACCCATGGCCCCTGCCTTTCTAGGCCCAGAGGAGGGGAGTGTGGGAATTAGGGGCTGGGGTGGGGCGTTATTTTGACCTCTGAGTCACCACTCCACTCCCTTCTCCCCCTGATTCTGGTGTGGAATAGTCTTGCTTCTCACTTGTGCCCCTCCGTTGATCTTGGGTTTAGCTTTTTCCTAGGTTAGTCACACTCAGCCACTGGTTGCCAGCTTCCTAAAAATGTGATCTATTTGTTCTCTTCCACTTTTTATTTCCTTGTGGATTTATAACTTTTACTTTCCTTTTCTGTCTTTTTTTTGGCTGCAAAAATTGTATTGTTTCGTTTGGTCCAATGCATGGGAGAGGGCTTCAGGGTAGTGAACAGAATGGCTAATAGTTTTGGAAAGAGGCTCAGGTAAAAGCCAGACACCACGGGATGCAGAGGGGCCCCTCAAAGGCCTCTGGGGTCCACAGGCTCCTAGTCATGCTTGAGGGCGGGCCTTTTGAAGAGATACTTGCCCAGCCCAGTCTGGGGGCTGGCCAGCCTGCAGAGGTGAGTCAGGTGTCGCCCATCTTCTTGATGAGTTTCACCTCCTCACCCTGGAAGTGGTTCTCCAGGAAGTCACAGAGCTGAGGGTCTGTGGGAAGAACCCAGGGCCTGTAGCTCCCAAAGGGCCTGGTTCAGGTTCCTCTCCAAGGCCAGGGCAGCTTCCATGGGCCCTGAGTTTTGCCCACTCATCTTGGGAGGCTTCAGCACGTCCTGGAGAGAATGCAGCCAACACGCTGGTTTTGCAACTTTCAGAGATGCTCAGCACCATGTGCTTCTTCTCTGCCAACTTGTGGAAGAAATGGCCCACGTCCTCGAGAGCCACATCGCCCCAGTGGAAGTAGAAGCCCAGAGAGAGGTAGGTGCAGGAGGCCTGCAGATGCAGGCTGGCCAGCCGGTTGGCCGCAGCCCCCATCTCGGTGGAATAATTCTGACGATTTGGGGAGCTCATGGTTGTTCGTCTATGAGTTAAGAAAAAACAACGGTGTTGACTGGTCTCAGGTGTTTCTGAAAGTGATGACTGGCTAAGAAGCAGGAGAGTGGCCGGAGGCTGGAAGAAGGGGCGGGGCGTCCCTGGGTCTGTTCAGACCAAACACTGCTGGAGCTGGAGACAGTTCTGGGACCGCAGAGGGCACAGCCCCTTTTCTGTCTTTTGAGGGGCATCTGGAAGAGTTCAATTCTCCATCTTTTTGATAACTAATAATTTTGTTACCATACTAAAGGGGTTCATTTGCCTGTGTGCATCAAAGCCCAATAAAATTCTAGAAGTTTGTAGCAAAGAAATCAGGGGTTTATTAGTTCAGGAAATAGTGCCAAGTTTGGAGACTCAGGTAAGCTAATGCTCTAAAACCTGGCTCCCTGATGGCCTGCACGGGACAGATTATATACAGGAAACATTATTAATCATGGTGATTAAGAGGGTGGGGGCCAGGGTAGGGAGTCCTTGATTATTGTGTAGCTCCTGATGTCAGCCATGGCATCATTCTGTCTGGTTTTATAAGGGTGCGGCCAGTAGGGTCTTTCCACTTCCATGCACCTGGGGCTGAAACACAACTTAAGTCAAGATGTTATCTTTAGTTTGAGGGAAACTCTGTGTCTGGTAAAAAGGCCTGAGGCTTTGTTCTCTATTCTATTCTATTCTATTCTATTCTATTCTATTCTATTCTATTCTATTCTATTCTATTCTATTCTCATTGCTAATCCTCACCTAAGGATTTTTCCCATTGATTTTCTTTTTTAGAGAGAGTGGGAAGAAGGGGGAGAGACACAAAGAGAGAAAACCCTGATGTAAGAGAGACCCATCGATTGGATGGGTTGCCGCCACACTCACCCCGACCAGGGCTGGGGATTGAGCCTACAACCCAGGTATATGCCCTTGCCAGAACTGAACCCCGGACCTTTCCCTTCAGTCCACAGGCCAATACTCTATCCACTGAGCCAAGCTGGCTAGGGCCTGAGGCTTTGTTCTTAAGACAGTTTGATGCTGACCAGAATCTGATGTGCTGGGGACTTAATGATTAAGGAAGGGAGTGGACAGACAGAAAGGAGAAAGAGTCAGGGTAAAGAAATGGAGTTTCTGGGCAGATACAGTTCTTTATTATTAAACTTTTTAGATCATTACAGCATGGTTTTCTGACCACATATATAATTAAATCTGCCCATACTTTATTCACATACATAATTAAATCTGTGCATACTTTATTCACATACATAATTAAATCTACCATACTTTATTTTATTGTGGGAATAAATGCTCCATCGCTTAAAAGAACTTAATATGTATTAGTGCCATCTAGTGGACAATATGAATTTAGCACCATAGGCTTTAAAACTGACGGGGCACCTTCTGAAATGAGCGAGAAAGCATCCGTTACTCAATCCTCGGTGTCTCTATTCAAATCTCCATAGATAGAAGTGTCTCTTCTCTTATATGGAAAGCACATACACACTCATTTCAGAACCGATTTTATTTCATCTTTACGGCTATCTTAAAGTCTTACTGTTAAACTTTAAATTATTATTATTTTTTGCTAATATCCTTATTGGAGATGAGAAAAATTGATGTTACCTTTTATTTATAACAGTCTTTTTATTCAATGAGGATTCGATTATGTTTTTTTCTTCTCTGGGATGTTTCACAAGTCCACAGCTGGCTTTTCCAAAGAATTAATTGAGAAGGAAATGGCAGAGATGATTAGACTGCTGCACCTGCTAAAACAGTAGAGGCCAGGCTCGGAGGTACCCTGGGCAGCGAATTATGCTGCTCTGTGGTTATTAAGACTTCATGCTACACCGGTGAATTGAAAAGACATACATTGTCCAGTCTTGCAATCGTACCCTCAATAATTTACTTAAAAAAAACAAAACAAAACCCACAAACGGATCTGAAAATTTCAGGCAGAAATTTAAAATTACTTGTCTCTTTTCATAACTCCAAAAGGATTTTGTATCTGTAACTGCAGAACCTGCTATAGATATTCCTAAGCTTCAATTCTGCCAACTCCTGAGAATTCCCATGGCATCAAAATACATGAATCACCAGTGCTTGAACCAAGTGCAAAGCAATTAAGCTTTTAACTAGATCAACTGTGAGCTGAAATCTGCTACATAATTGAAATGCCATCTAGTGGCCAAGTGCCATTTTTAGTCCTCAATCAAAACAGCTTTGCCCTGGTTGGTTTGGCTCAGTGGATAGAGTGGCGGCCTGTGGACTGAAGGGTCCCAGGTTCAAGGGTCCCGGGTTCGATTCTGGTCTAAGGGCACATGCCTGGGTTGCGGGCTCAGTCCCCAGTAGGGGGCATGCAGAAGGCAACCGATCCATGATTATCTCTCATCATTGATGCTTCTCTCTTTCTCTCCCTCTTCCTTACTCTCTGAAATCAATAGAAATATATTAAAACACACACACAACAAACAGCTTTGGTGCCTTCTAGAATTTTTCTTAGGTTGATTTATCAAATAGTTTTGAATCAGGCTATTATAGCTGCTTTTGCTCTTGCAGTGAGATGGCATTGGAATATTTCCTTATCATAAAAAATGTTGAACAGCTTGAAATGTTCCAGCTCTTATTCTAGGCCCATCTGTTCATACAGCTTTGAAACAAACAGTTGTTGCTTGGTTTGGTTACTAAGTCATTAAATAACCCCAGTAGCTGTAATTTATTACTTTGTAGTTGAAAAATAAAAAGAAGTATATATGTAATGTCAGGTAACTAACATTCTAAATATTGATGGCCAGAAGATTGAAAGAATCTACTTTCAGTCTCAGAAACTTGAAGAGCTGTGAGGGAGACATATCCTTTGTCCATGAATGAATGTCATGAACAAACAAACGAGTGTGATAGCAATATTATTGGCAATAGGAGCAGCAGCTAACATGTATTGAGTGCCTACATGCCAGACACTGTTCTGAGTGCTCACTTGTAATCAGGCTTTTAATCTTCACGTCAGCCTGAAGATGTAGCACTATTGCTATACCTATTTCATAGACAAAAGAAGGCCCAGAGTGGTTACACTGCATGTGCACTAACCGAGAGGCTGAGAAGGGAGCAGAATATTCGGAGTGCCCTTTGGTCTCTTTGCTGGTTTAGATTTTGGTTAGCACCGCTTTGATGGAGAATCCTTGGAGGACCATGGGAATCCCTTTGATAGAAGCAGGGCACAGTCAGCACTGGATCGTTCTGGCCTGGGTTTGGTGACATTTGTGAGAGGATGAAGCTGAGAGAACAGGGCTCGCTTTGGGTCCCTCACCCGATCAACTTTGATTACACCGGGGGAAACTGTGTAATTTTTAATGGTGAAGAGGGAGGAAGAACAAAAATTAGGAAAAATAAAATTGTTATATCAGTGTTTTAATCATATTCCCATTATATACTTATGTACCCAATTTATCTCTACTTAATGGGACATAAATATGAAATAATCTAACTTTTTCTTATCCTGGCTGCGAAGTTGTGATTTATAACAGGAAATATAGATTTGGTCTTCCATTCAGGCTTATTTTCCAGGGAAAGAAAGGACAGATCAAAGAAGTTCTGAAGGAAATTGGGACAATCAGTGTTTTCCACCCAATAGGAAGAGAAAGTAGATAACACTACGTTTCTAGGAAGCTGTGTATGTGGGGAAATAGTGGGGAGGTTTGGGAAGGAGAAACAAACATACACACGGAAGCACATACTCACACACTCTACACCCAAGACAGGAGAGAAAGGAAAATTCAAGAGGAGGAAGGGAGAGAAGTGGTCAAATAAATGCACCCTGATTTTCTCCTCATACCTTCACAGTGTTATTTGTAAGCTCCTTCCGCTCTTCTCCAGGTAGTAGGTAGTGGATTGATTTGCGTGTAACCAAACTAGCTGTGGTTATGCAGTAAATAGGTCATCATGAAGTATTTTTCTTCTTGTTCATCACAAATCTGGTTCTATTCTTTCACTTCGGGCGTGTGACCATTTAAATCCGTAAAGACAAGTGAGCTTAATACCTCACAGAGTGCTTTGTTGCTTTCAGTGAGTCTCACACAGTGTTTTTGAGGTGGATGACAATGGGTTTACTATCCTCCATGTACAGATAAGGAAACTGGGACTCAGAGAGGTTAAGTGGCTTGCCAAAATTCACATGACTACTGGCACAGAACTAGAACACCAAAGCATTTCATTGCATTCATTCATTCACACACACACACACACACACACACACACACACACACACCACATTTCTCCAAGCATGGAGTATGAATATGTGTGCATGCACAAATGCCAATGCCAATTGAATGTTAGGTAAGGTAGCCTGATATAAAAGGGAAAATTATACTAATTGCAATTTTATCATCTGATTCTTACTTTCTCAGAGATCTTACTCTTCAGAGATCTTCAAAAGAAAGTCAGATAACCAAATCAGCTAAATAGAATAGATACTTTAGGTGTTTTACAGCCCTGAAGGAAAAATCTAGGTAATCTTTCAAGGTTTACTCTAGTCTAATTTTATTTTAAAAATGTAAAATTCTAATTCTTTAAAAAAATTTGTATCTGTGAAATAACATACTTTAGCAGCTTTGCAAGCTTATCATGCCTGGTACAATTTATCCAGAAGGAGGCAGCATTTTACTATTAAATTGATGCTTCTGCAAAGATTCTAACAAGTTTTTTTCCCCCCCTTTAAAGATGTAGACTACCTAATCACACACATCCAAAAACACTTCAGGGAAAAGATTCTTGGATGTCACTAGAGCTTTGCATATTGACACAGTATGTAAAAAGCCAAATTCTGCTCAGATTAATCACATTTAAAATTACAAATAGCGTATCTGGTGCCCAAATTCATTGGCAGGAACCAATTTTGCAGTCAAGATACTGATTAAAATAGAGTTACACAGAAGATGTAGTGGAAGAAAGGGAGAAGTAATGATTCAATCATTGATAACTTGTAGAAAGAAAATATTTGGTCAATAAGAGATCAACTTTAGAGAAAAAAATCTTTAAGTTACTCAAAAATAAGGGTAATGAGTTTTAATCATCTGCCTAATGTCATGAATGGAACTTGCTTCTTCTTTCCTGGTTTTCATAAAATTACAGGATCTTTTAGAAGGGACCTTGAAATGTTATGTGACACATCTCAGTGAAGTGAGGTCAGAACTCATTTTATCCATCTAGGGAAGTGAGAGTCCACCTGCTTTCCAAAAATCACCTTGTTAACCTAACAAAAACCCCTTTATTACTCTCCTGACTTAGGAAACGCCCAGGGTTTAAGGAGCTCTGTGCCCGGAATGGAAGACCAAATATATATTTCCTGTTATAAATCACAGCATCATGGCAAGGATTAAGAAAAAGTTAGATTGTTTTATATTTATGCCCCATTAAGTAGAGATACATTGGGAACGTGATTAAAACACTGATATAATAATTTTATTTTTCCTAATTCCTGTTCCTCCTCCACCCTTCACCATTAAGGCTTATTTCCCAGGGAAAGAAAGGACAGCATCAAAGAAGTTCTGAAGGAAACTGTGACAATCGGTGCTTTCCCTCTGGGAAGAGAAGGTAGATGACACTAAGTTTCTAGGACGCTGTGTGTGTGCTGGGGATAGGGGCGAGGTGGGGAGGAGGGACAGACACACACATCCAAGCACACACTCACACACGCTACACCCAAAACAGGAGGGAAGGGCAAGGTCAGGAGAGGGGCGAAGGGAAGAGGTCAAATAAGTGGACTTGGATTTTCTCCTCATACTTTCATGGCCAAAGGAGAGAGGGAGTTAAAAAAAAATTTTTTTTAAGGGTTGGTATTCCCAGAGCAAGAAGGTTTGTTTCTAGTTTCTCTAGATACAGACTAAGAACATTTCAAGACATCTAAGGGAATCACAGTATGTAATATGGAGCCACCCGGCAACAAAATAGAAATGGCTGGAAGTAGCATCTAAGCATAAAGAGGGTCAGATATAGAGTCCCAAGGATCCCTTGGCTTCTGTGTGGTGTGGAAGGATCCAGGAGGTCTTCTATACCCTAATGCAGGAACTGAAGCCAGAGGCCTGCTACGGCTGTGGTAGCAATAGGTGGGAGGAATCCCAGTGAAGGCCTCTCTCAGGGCTGCTGGAAGCCGTAATGGATATAGACTTAGAGGATTTGCAGGGCCATCCTGGGCTAAGCTGGGACCAGTTAAGAGAGGGAAGGACCCCGAGACCCTCAGCTTTGCCAAAACGAATGACCACGACTTTCATCAGAAGATATGACCAGGTAGTGCAGGGGGCATCTCTGAGGAAGCCAGCCCTGGGGTCAACTTTGCCCTTCAGCCGTCCCCTTGGAACAAGAGAGGAGAGACAAGTCTTAGAGGAAGTCTGAACTTTGAACTCACTGTGTATTTATCTGGAAGGGAATCTTTAACCCAAAGTAATGGATCGATTCTTAACTGGCACGTTTGTATCTTCCCTTATTCCACTTCACCTAACCCCCTCAAAGAGCACAAACGGGGGTGTTACCCATTGGGGTTACTGGTTGGGACCTCCATTTTTTTCTCAACGCAGAAAAGATTTTAAGGTCAATGAAAATGAAAGTAAAGCAAACTGGGGTTTATTGAAGATACATTCCAAATGAGGAGCAGGCCTCAACTCCTGGGTTTAAAAGAAAGATTGTCTGCCTGGCTGGGGTGCTCCGTGGTTGAATGTCGACCTATGAACCAGGAGGTCATGGTTCGATTCCCGGTCCGACGGGGCATATGCTCGGTTGCGGGCTCAATCCCCAGTGTGGGGTGTGTAGGAGGCAGCCGATCAATGATTCTCTGTCGTCATTGATGTTTCTATCTCTCTCTCCCTCACCCTTTGTCTCTGAAATCAATAAATATATATTTAAAAAAATAAGAAAAGAAAAGAACAAAAGGAATTTTCTGGATGGACACTTTCATTTTCATTCAGAGATGATGGACAGAAACTATATTTCTTCTGGGCATGCCCTTACCCGTAGCAGGCCTTTGACCCCACGGAGGTAGGGTCAAAACCAAAATGCAAATTTTATTATAGATAGTCCAGGGCCCTAGTAAGGTCACATTGGCATTGAGATAACGTCAATTTCCTCTGAACTTGTGCCAAGAACTGGCTGGCTCCAAGCATGCCTGCTGGCAGTCTGCTGTCCCCCCATAGAGAGGCGGTCTGAAGGCAGTGTTGGTCTGATCCCTGCTTAGGACCCCAGGGCAGGCCCCACCCCAGCCACTCCTGTCTAACTTCCTCCCTAACAGGGTGGATTGTTCAGCACGGGGTACCAGAACAAAATACCATCGACTGAGTGGCCCACACAATACACATTTATTTTCTCATAATTTTGGAGAAGTTTAAGGTTCTGGAAGTTTAAGGTTCGGTGCCAGTAGATTTGGTACACTTTCTTGACAGAAGGTGTCTTGGGAAATTCAGGAGGGTGTTGTATCACAGAGCAAGGCTACCTGAGAATCCTCTCTAATTCCAATTTCCCCCCAAATTCCAGTCTTCCTTGGCTTGATTCTCATGGCAAAAAAAGAGAGAGCTCTGGTGTCACTCCCTCTTTAATAAGGACACTAATCTCTTTCTGGGGGCCCCACCCTCACGGCCTCATCTAAACTTGCCAAAGGTCCCTTCTCTAAAATGCCATCACATTGAGGGCTAGGGCTTTCCCATATGAATTTTGTGGGGGAGACAATTCAATCTGCTGCATGGGGCTTGTGAGGAAGCTTATATCATTTATGGAAAAACACAGTACCACAGTCTTTGGGCATGTATAAATTAAAGTGTGCCATTAAAAACCGATTGCATGACAAGTATTTTCAGTTCCCCACCTCCTCGCGCATAGGAACAGTGTGTGTATGAGTAGAGAAATAGACTGAGGGTGGAGGGACGGAAAGAGAAGGAATGAAAAGGGTCGAGGAGGGAGAAAAGGAGAAAATTAGAAGGAGGTGAAGGAGAGAAGGAGTGACCTGGAGATGGAGAGAGAGTGGGAAGAAGGGAGAAAGAGAGGAGGAGAGAGGAGGAGAAGAGGGACTAAACTCACGAGAGCACTGGAGCAGGGGAGTTTGCCAGAAAGACTGGAATTTGGGGGGAAATCGGAATTAGAGAGGATTCTCAGGTAGCCTTGCTCTGTGATACGACACCCTCCTGAATTTCTCAAGACACCTTCTGTCAAGAAACACATTCCTATTCCTCCCATTTGCAGTTGAGTTTCTGTTTTTTATTCTGATAGTTTGCTGTGTTGGGATCTTTGGGGGCCTTGGGGTCACACACTTTTCAAATGGTGGCGACCCAGGCTACAGTTTAACAGGCCCCCCTGATTGCGAAGTCTGTCTTGTATCTGATCCCCCCCCGTTTTGGCCCATTGGAGAGCAGTCTGTCCCTGGTATGCCTCACAGCCATTGTAAAGGACAGTCTGATAGGAGAGCACTCGGGGCTTTTCTCTCCAAGCTGGAATAAACTTATTTTCTTTGTTCTCCTAGGTTTTCCTTCCGAATCACTGAGTCATCTTTCGTATTCCTTGAATCTGCCATGCACTAATTAGCCTGGAGTGGGATTAGCAAATACCGCAAAACAGTGCTTGGCTCATGTATTCCGAGTCATGCTCCGTCTCTTTCAACAACTGTACATTTCTTCTTTTCCGACTGTTTGCTTAATGAAATAAAAGGTCATATTTTAGTTGTAATGGTCCCAGTGATTTCAACTATTTGCTGCGTTATTCCGACTCCTTCAGACTGTGTGACAACATTGGCTAGAGGACACTGTATGATTTTTTAAAAAAATCTATTTTCAGTGTAAAACTCTTAGTGAATATTTAGAAGTTTGATTTATTACAAAGTTTAGAGTGTGTGTTTATTTAAAATGAGAGAACTCTAATTCTATCATAAATGTCCATTTTGGTTGACTACTTGCCTAATGAGGCATAATATACAAAAATGCTGAACATTCCATTCAACCCTGTGGGACAAACTGGGAATTCTGCAGGATTGAATTTCAGCATTAAAAAAAATGAGAAAATTCCATACAATTAAGAGGATATTGGAAAAAGGAAATGGTAAGTTTGTAATATTCTGGGGAAAAAAATTAAGAAGGATTTTCTTCCTGTGTGAGAAAGTAGGGGAAAGTTTCAGAATTTATAAAGTATATAGATTGCCTTTATGTCTCCGAGTAGATTTTTGTGGTCTACTTTAAGGCTTGAAAATAGTGTTTGCAAAACTGATTGGATTAGATATACTGAGGCTATCTTTCACAGTTAAAGGTTATCTGGAGATAAGCACTGTGATGTTTGAGAATATTATCAAATACTTCAGTACTCATTCAGTACTCATGATCCCAAGCACAAAGTAATATAAGTAGTTTTTAAGGCTTCCTGGAAGCTATGTGGAAATTTTTTGGACAAGGTCAAAGGTATTTTGAAATATCACGTACGTTATTTTGTCTTTGACCAAAAGAATAGAAAAGTAAAATCATGCTTAATTAAATAAAAAAGTAGCAAATTTGAAAAATCAAATATGCTTAACATCTGGACTATTTAAGAATGTTGTTCGAAAAGAGTGACTCTATTGTATCTGTGTAACATCACCCATGTTCTTTTTGGTAAATAAAAAAGGAAATCACTAGTTGAAGACAATAGCAGAGTTCACGTTTTCATGATCCCATATCTCAAAATCAAAATATAAATGCACTGTTCCAAGAATTTGTCACTTTCCATATGATTTATTCTTGTTAATAAGGGCAAATACATTACAGTTTTGTATCAAACCTGTGTCCTAAAGGATTTAAAATAAACCAGTCTGAATGACAGACAGGTATGATACAAAAAAAAATCACTAATGAAAATAAGGCAGGATTCCAAGTGTATCAGATGTCCACGTTGGTGTGTGTTACATATTAAAATAATGGATTTGTGATATCAGAAACCTTGACTTGATTTAAGGTTTTGGTATCTTAATGACCCACCCAGCCCCTTTCTTCATTATTCCTTGACTATTCCAAAGCCTCTACTTCTCTACTTCTGCCAACCCTTGGTATGCTCATGTCCTATCACCTGCATTTTTTCCCCTTTGGTCACAACCTTTTCGCCTTCAGTGCCCCCATTCTCAACCCCTCTGAGATGGTTCTTTTTCCCATGGCTCCCCTGGCACTCTTCCACGTAGACTGTGGCAGGCTCGCTCCAGCCTTTGTCTCCTTCTGCTCATTTGGGGGCCTGGAATCTTGTCTGGGCCAGACTTGGTCCTTATATGATCTCACTAATATGTGGAATCTAATGGACAAAATAAACTGACCAACAAAATCCCCAGAAGCATGGATACATGGCACAGACTGGTACCCAAGTGGCAGGGGTTGGGGATGACTGGATAAGGAGGGTGAAGGGATCAGCTAAAGAACATATATGCATACCCTGTGGACAGGAACAATAGTTTGGTGAAGGCCAAGAGACAGGGAGGGAGAGATGGGGGTGTGGAGGTGGGCAAAAGATGGGAAAAGGGGGATGCCTGCAATTATGTCAGCATTAACTATTTTTAATTAAAAAATAAGAGAAAATGTGTTTCTAGAAAGGTGAATAGCTCTGATGTCCTTTTCTATAACACCACCCTCCCTCTTCTTCCAGTCTGTTGGCCCACAATTTTCTTTGCTTCAGCTGCATGTTTGGGAAAGAGCATAGGGAAGGTGGGAAAGAGCTTAGGAAAGGCACACTGTACATGTGACCACCTTGCTCAGAAGTGACCCTCATCACTTCTGCTCACAGTCGATTGTCCAGTAGAATGGAAAGGGAAGCAGGAAAATGTAGAGATACAGAGAAATCAATGAGCATCAATTGTTTCTTTGTTTCTTTGACATTTACCTTGTAATTGTCTTGAGAATTAAATATGTTCACATCTGTAAAATATTTAGCTCAATGGTTGGTAGCTCAATCATTATTTGGTATTCCAGGTCAATGAAAGTTAGTTGCTTTGCTCATTGTAAGTTGATGCATTTGCATTTTCCTTTACATTTAAATATTTCTGTGAGTTTGGTTAATGAAAGTCAGAGAGGTGGCTTCAGACTCAGAGTGCTGATAAGACAACCTTTCTGGGTCAGCAAATGCAATGACTGCCTAGAAACTGCCTAGACGCACCACCTTTGGAGTCACATCATGGGGGCAGTCAACTGTGAGGTGAAATTGCTCAGTCACAACTGCTGCCTTTCCTGGAATTGTACTAGCTTCTAGAACAGGGGTGGGCAAACTTTTTGACTCGAGGGCCACAATGGGTTCTTAAACTGGACCGGAGGGCCGGAACAAAAGCATGGATGGAGTGTTTGTTTGAACTAATATAAATTCAAAGTAAACATCATTACATAAAAGGGTACGGTCTTTTTTTTTTTTTTAGTTTTATTCATTTCAAACGGGCCGGATCCGGCCCGCGGGCTGTAGTTTGCCCACGGCTGTTCTAGAATATACTTTTGCCTTCTGGCCTTAGCTGGGCTTGCAATATACAGAGCCAGGGGTGGAGCTACCTACCCATATGGATCTTTGGTCCTCCTTGGTGATCTCTGGTCAGCTCCTTTCCCTGTTTCCCAAAGCAGTTTCTGAGCTTTTTGTAGATGCCTGCTACGGAGTTTCCCCTGGTGTAGCCTGGAGTGGCATTTGTCTGGAGATCTTGCTACTCAGTTGGTAACCACTAATATTCCAGCCAGCTTACCCTCTAATACCAACCCTCAATAGGTTGCTCTTTCTAAAAATTACATATCATCATCCTTCTGCCACTTGCCTCCCAGATCACAGCATGTCCACCCCTAGGAGAGGAATGGCATGTCTGCCTCAGAGTCAATTTTACTGGCAACAAATAAAAATTATTAATTTTATTTTGGAACAAGCATAAACATGTTAGAGGTAGAGTGTAAACTCCTCTTAAATTTTAAATCTAGAACTACAAGAAAATTTCTCCTATAAATTGGGTGGATTCCTTGCTTCATTTCTACTTTCGTTTCCGTTGCCATCTTGGATATACTGGGGGAGAGTTCAAGGACCACCACTTCTCTCTCCTGCCCATTGGATTAACTTGGACTTGTTCTCACTGAGTCTCTTTCATCTTCTGATAGGCTATTCCTGAGGTCCTTTGGCTGGTGGAGATGCCTTTTTCATTTTCAGAGCCATGCATGGTTCTCCTATGTCCATTCTTCATATTTTATTATATATTAAGTTATTTAATACTTATAGCACTTAGTAAGGGCAAGGCAGTCTTCTAAGTGATGAATATATATTTGATTTCAAAGAAGAAGGGGAAAGGAGAGAGAGAGATAGAAACATCAATGATGAGAATCATTGATTGGCTGCCTCCTGCACAACCGCCCCCCCCCCCCCCCCCCCCACACACACACACCACCACCACTGGAGATCGAGCTCACAACCTGGGCATGTGTTCTGACCAGAAATCAAACTGTGACCTCCTGGTTCATAGGTTGATGCTCAACCACTGAGGCACAGAAGTTCAATAATGTTTTCAAAGTCACACAGCCAATCAATATAAGCCATAAACCAGAGTCAGGATTTGAATTTGGATATCTCATTTCTAAGTCCATACTCTTAGTCACTATGTTATGCTGCCTCTTACATTAATTGCTGGTTAATTTTTCTGTAGACTATATGGGCCTGGAGGACAGAGTTTTATTTAAAGCTTAGAGTGAGACCAGCACACAATAACAGTGTAGCAAATATTGGGGAACCCTCTCCACAGAGAGGTGAAGGTCACGAGGGTTGTGTACCAGGGCCAGGTGATGCTGTGCTTAGTCACCCCATCAGCTTCTTTATGTACACAGCCGGCAACCTCTAATTGCTAAAGGGATTTTAAAGTTATTTCATCCTGTGCTTAGTGGAACAAGTTGTGCAACTTTTGTATATAATATCTTTAGATGTTTTCCTAGAATATTTTAACAATTCTTTGTTAATGCCTGAATGGAAATTCTAGGAGTTCAATTTCCTCCGACACCCTGTTGTTGGACTTTAGGAAATACGGTTTAGTTGTGCCTGTTCAAGATTTGTGGAAGTTTACAAACCTTTGTGCCAAGATCTGAGATTTCAGTCGGTACTACCTGTCTTGGAGTTTTGATGTCAAGGGCAGACTAACAAAAACAAACAAGCAAACAACCACCACCCCCTAAAAAAAAACACACCCAACATTTTCGAAGCTTTGATAGTAGAAACGAATGCCATTACCTGCCGTGTCAGCACTTTCCCTTGGAATCTTTCCTCAGTCACAGTTCAGGAAGGTGGTTTGGGATCACAATTTTATATTCCCTGTGAGCTGACACATTTTGAAAACATACTCGTCATAAGTGATGACTGGTTAGAAATAAATCTGCCGAGTGTCAGCTTGATGGAGGAGTAATCACCAGAGCTTAAGAAAGCAAAACCATGTTTTTCTTAGAAATCATTTTCTTCACTAATATCAAGCTGGGGATCTTCCGTATCTTGCTTATAATCAAAGGGAGGGCTTTCATTACAGCAAATTTTGACTCTCTCGTGGTTCTAATTTTTCCTGGTTGACCCCTGACTTATTATATACACATTCACGCTCGCACCCCCCCCCACACACACACTTTGTTTGAAAGATTTTGAGAAAATGTGGTCTCCCTGCTGTCAGTCCCCATGTCAATGTTTATTGACTCTAATACAGTAAACATGATATGTAATTTTT